CTCCGCCTCCTGGGTTCAAGCCATTCTCCTGCCTCAGCCTCCCAGGTAACTGGGACTACAGGCATGTACCACCACGCCTGGCTAATTTTTTTGTATTTTTAGTAGAGATGGGGTTTCACCAGGCTGGCCAGGCTGGTCTCGAACTCCTAACCTCAAGTGATCCACCCACCTCGGCCTCCCAAAGTGCTGGGATTACAGACGTGAGCCACCACGCCCGACCAGACTCCTCTTTAAAATCATCACAGTATAGTTGCCCCGCACTGACTGTCGTGTAGTAGACGTGTCCTCACTCCCACCGATGGGCCCCAGGCTCATGGGGATTTGACGGCTGTTTTGCTTGGAGGTTTTTGTGAGTTCCTGCTCTGTGGAAGGCGTAGGGATTTCTACGAAACACAGTGGTCCAGTGAGCATGGGCTCCTCCCCTCCCCTCAACACATAGAATCCCTCTTTAAATGAAATAATGCAAACTAAAACATGATTACTAGGCTTAGAACTAGAAAGGGAAATCCTCAATTGTCAGAAACCAAGAGGAATGTCAAAGACAGAAAGAGGAGCCAGGCCAGCTTGGCTCCCCACCCACCCCCTAGGGGGCCTGGGCCCCACCAGCTGGGGTTGCATCATGGTAGAGGTGAGGGAGATGGAATGGACGCAGTGCAGAGAGCTGAGCCAGGAAGGCCGAGAGAGCCATGCAGTGGGGACCAGAGAGCTGTACCCTGGCACACAGAAGCAGCTGACCATCCCAGGCTGGGCAGGGAAACAGCCTCTGGCAGGATCCATCCTGCATTGGCACCAGGCCCGAGGTGGGGCCTGAAAGCCGGGGGGAAACCAGGAGAGCCTCACAGTTATGCCTCTCAGAACTTGGGGGCTCCCTCCACCCATTGAAAACAATTCCCATTGAGGATGCACTTACATCATAGAACGATATATACGTGTGTTTATACACAATACATGTGATCTGTGAATATATGTATGTTTACCAGACTAGCCAGCTGGTGCTGAAAAAGAACAGATCAGCATGGGGGAGGGGGCTAGCAGATGCAATTGATGAGAGAGAGTTTCTATTCTCGGAAAAAAGGAACAGAATGCAAAAGAAAAGAAGAGAAAATGATGAGCAAACAAGCAGGACAAAAAGAACAGATGGACTTTGAGAAAATAACTAAATAGAAATTCTCAAAATGAAAACTGAGGTTGTTGAAACGAAAAACTCAATATGTGTCTTAAACAGTAGTCTAGGTGGAGCCGAAGAGAGAATTAATGAATCAGAAGACAGAACCAAGGAAGTCACTAAGAATACAGCACAGAAGAATGAAGTTACAGGAGGTGTGAAAAAGAAGTGAGGCAGATGATGCAGAGAGAAAGTGCAGAGGTGCAGTGGAGACTGGGTTGAGGTCACGTGTGAATAGCTAGACATCTGGGTTCTTTCCAGAAGGCCATGCAAAATTGGGTGATTGTCCAATAGTGAATCCGCAGTCTACGTTTCCTTTTTCTTCATGGCCCTGTCTTGAGTTTTGACTATGGATGTTTAAGTTGCAAGTACTGTGAGCACAGCACCTCTGTCCTCGGTTTGGAAACTCGATGCAGTAAAATAAAGATGCTGAAGTGTTTTTGTAGAAGGAACCGTCAAGTGGAGTTTTCAGTGCCTGGGCTCTGGGGTCACTGAGGCTTCCTATCCTCTGCTGAAACTGCAGCATAGAGCTTTGCATTTATGGTCACTATGATCTAAAGATTTCTCAGGTGGAGTTGTAGCTGAAGGGCCTACAACGTGAAGATGTTGGAGATAAATCATTCAGCAAAGCCAACTTAGTTCCTACCCTGGAAGAGCTCACAGACCACATCCCCTTCCCTGTGTCCTTCCTGGTCCCTCTGCTTCCCCGCCCAGTGTGGAGGGGCTTCAGGGACCCTGCCTCTGTGAGGCATCCACAAGTGGACAATCGGGACATGCTCCTGGCTTCCTGCAGCCTTTGACCCAGTCTGTGGCGTTACCCATCTGGCCAGTCCCTAAGGGACAGAGGGCCCCAGTGGGCTGCATATCCAGCCATGTGGGCCCTGAATTGTAAATGCAGATTCCCAGGCCCCAGAGCCTCTGGGGTGGGGGATAGGACCTAGGGTCTGTCCTTTAAAGCACCATCTTGAAAAGATTGTACTGTGGCTGTGTGGAGGCTGACGGGCTGCCGATGTCTGAGAACCTGAGGTCAGAACAGGCCATGGTTGGGTGGGGATGGAGCCAGGGCTGCCATCCAGGATCTGGACTCAACCACCCAGCCTGTCCTCTGAGCTCTCCAGTCCCCACCTCATTCCTCAGTGAGTCTCACCGAGCACGGCCCGGTGAGGCCTGGACATTGGTGAATGGCACAGAGGCCTGAAGCTTTGGGAGCTGGCGGTGCAGGTGGGCTCCCCAGCAGGCCTGGTCCTTTCGAGTGGCACGTCTTTCCCCTTGTCCTTCCTCCCTGTTCCTTGTCCTCAGCACACACACTCCTTTCCTCCTGCCCTGGCGGCTGTCTGTAGGAGAGGGAAGGAAGGAGGAAGGGAAGTACGGCTGTGTGTCTTCATTCATTTGTTAACCGGCACTCGGAACAGACGAGGTAATAAAAGTAGGGAAAATGTCATCCTTTGACATTTGCGATATCGGAAGAGTTGGCTGGGGCTGTGGGCTAAGAGGTGTTTGATCATTGCCTGAGAGCCAGACCCTGGGGACACCAGCTTTCTGTCCTGGGAGTGGGGCGGGCATAGCCAGAGTTGCCCTGGGGCGCTACTGTGGGGCATCCCTCCTCCTGCAGGGAGGTACTTCTGCTCCCAAACTTTCAGGCTGGTGGGTTTCACATGGGGCCGCCTCTGCCCCATCTGACCCCATGGCTATCTCAGCGATCTGGTGTCTGCTCCAGCAGCGCCTGCCCTGGGTTTTGGGTCACTGGAGTGTGGTCCCCCATGGTGGGTCCCTGAGCTTCCCCTTGTCCCCAGTGCCAGCCAGGAAGCCTGAAATTCAGGCAGATGGAGGGACAGGGCTCCTCCAGCATAGCTGGTCACGCTGAACCCATGGAAGGAGCTGCCCATCAATGCTGCAGGCCCTCCAGAGCCCTTCATACGCCACTCACGACATGTTCATCCTGGGGCAAAGCGCCCCAAGCTCGGGGCTGAGGCTGCTGTGGTCATAGCAGCTGTAGAAATTGTCCACAGGAGCCACAGAAGCACGGACGCAGGAGACCCATGTTCTGGCCTTGGCTGGCTCACCCACCACGCCTCCTTTCTGTCTCTGGTTCCATCTGTACAACCCGACCTGGGGCCTTTGCGCTGACTCCAGGTTGACAAACATGTTCTTGTGTGTCAGCGCTGATCGAATGCTGGGGCCTCCTTAGACTCCACGGAGGGGTCTTAGACTTCATGGGGGAGGGCTCTGGGCCTGCGCCCGGCTCCTCAGAGGAGTTGATTAGCCACGTCTGCCGTGGGAGGTGTGTGAGCGGGGCTCGGGTGCCCCGTAGTTGCCAGACCCTTTGAGATCTAACATTCTTCCAAATAACTGTAAGGACATACAGCAATATTGCTTTAATTTTTGTTTTCCCTAAATGCTTAGAGCTCTTAAAAGCCAAAAACACTCGCAGAGCCAAGTTCCTCATTATTTATGAAAGGGCCCTTGTAGCATCAGCATGGGAGTGCGGCTGGGCCGGCTGCATAATCGGCCCATTGAGTCTTGTCTGAGGAAGCACAGAAGAACCCTGTCCTTCCACGACCCCAACTTCCCTGAGCCCCGGCCCCTAACCACCAGCACCTACAGGAAGGCAGCACACAGCCGCTGGCTCATTGGTCGAACCTGCCGTCTCTATGGTTCATTTTCTTTCCTCTCCCGCTTTTGAAAATTGCTGCTGGAAGCGGAACAGCCTGAAAGGAAGCCTGGGGGATACATCCGGCTGGGGGGCTTTGGCCAAGTGACTAAGCCTAGGTTTTCCTGTCTAGCAAATGTGCACCGCAGGATGGCCTCGTGGGGTTCCCTGGTGCGGTGTGCGGCACACAGAGCGCCCTCTGGGCTCCGTTCCTCTGACGCCAGCACCCAGTGGAGGGTGTTTATGAATTCAGCACGTGGCCGTCGGGGCCTTTACCTGTTGCCCACCGCCAGACACACGTGTACATACACGCACACACAGCCATGTAGCCATTCAGTGCACACACAGACTTGGAGCACACGCAAACAACATGCACACACGACCACGCACGCGAACTTGCGCACACACATGGACTCACACACGTAGTCGGTGCAGTTTCAACGTCCAGGCCGCACCTCCCTCCTCAGGGCCTAAGTCTGGCGCACAGGAGCTCCATTCACTGTGAATTGTGACAGCTTCCTGGCCATCTCATGTGTGTGACAGCCTGTGCCCCTGGGCCAGCCATCTCCTGTCCTCTGCCCTGGGTTCCTCATATTCATCTGCAGAGCCTCTTGCCCTCTCTCCGGCCTGCTTGCCACCCGTCCCTTTGGAGATCTGTGGAGTAGCTGTGTTGGGGCTTTCAGTGCCAGGAGACGGGTGGGTCCTGCCTATCCATAGGAGGCTCACATCACAGGGCAGGCTGGTTAGGGGCAGCAGAGGGAGGAGGAGCGGCTACTGCTCCTCGCCAAACCTTCCTCTTGACCAATCTGCTGGTCAGGGGAGACAAGGAGAGATCCCGTCATGCCGCTCTGCACCTGGAACTCTTGTCCTTCTGCGTCCCGAGCCCTCCATGGAGCCAGGCTTCTGGTTAAATGTCATGCAGGGGAGGGCTTGAAGGGAAGCAAGCAGTACCCTGGGACATTTGCATGTGCGTGGTGTCCTGGCTGCTGGGTGACTCTAGGCGGGTCACTTGACCTCTCCGGGCTCCCGTTTCCCCATCTCTGAAACTGTAGCCGTGTTTCTTACCCAGATGTGATGTGCTTAGTTGACAGTTCTCGATGTCCTGCAAAACACTGTCCCCAGTTCTGCGATGCCTTTTCTGGTTTCTTGTGAAATTACAGGAGCGTCTTTTCTTGTCTCTCCCAGGTCATCTCCGCGGTGTCGAGGCTCTCACTGCACAGCATTGCGCAGAACAAAGGAATCAGGTGAGCTCTCCGGAGTGCGCTGCCAAGGCCAGGTCCTTTCATCTCCGTTGACACCGGCGTGCCTTGTCACAGATACTGGGGTGGGAAGCAGATGCCCTCGCTCTGCCTGTGTCTTTATCACGCATTTGCAGCGTGTTGTCGAGTAACTTGTTGGCGGCTGCAGTAAGCGGTGCCGGGGGAGGGAGGCTTCAGCTCACACCGGGGAAATCTTGCAAGCATGTTACTGACGGCTGCAAAATCTCTTTCGATTTAGGTAATAAGATCAGTAAATTAATCCTTTCACAGATCATTGCCTACCTAAATGCACTCTCCACACATCAGAACCGGGGGCTCTGCCGAGAATGAGGTAGCTGGGGTCTGTTTGCAGGGATGGGGCCGAAGCAGGGTGGACTTGCCTAGCTTAGGGGCTGCAGGTTTCTGTACAGGGCGTCTGGACAAGTCAAGCCAAGGAATTTCTCCACTCTCCGTTTATTCTGCTTGGACTGCAGAGTTCAGCCTCAGAGGGTCCCCTGACCCCTGTGATCTTGCCTCCTGCTTCTGACACTTGGATGGCAGTTGGGCGTCTGTGAGAGGAGGGAATGGCCCCAGATAAGAACTGGTCACTGTGGATTCTGACCCCCAGATTGAGGTCAGGGAGACCAGGTTCCTGACAGGGTGGGGACGTGTGTCTGGGAGACCCTTGGGAGGACAGGGGCCAGCAGAGTGAGAAGGAGAGGCTGGGATGGCAGAGAGAGCCTGGCCCGAGAACAGAGAGGATGGGGGTCACATCTGGGCACAGGTGACATCATGAGGGTGCCCTGATTTTGGGAAGGGGCCTCATCCTGATGTGATCCGTGGGGGACGCTGTATGTGACTGCAGGCTGGGGGGTCCCAGAATGATGGTGCTGGAGCATTTGGGTGGCACAGTTGCCCCTCGGTGGGGGCCATTTGCTCAGGTTCACAGAGGCCCTGGGCAGGGCTAAATGTTCCTAAAACCATGGGGACTTCCGATGTTGGATTCTCAGAGGACTCGGAAATTCCTCTGAATTGAGGTTTTTTGAAAATGTGAAATATAAGATAGACTCTTAAAATTCCATATTAATCACATACAAAAGAATATTTAGAACACATTTGGGGCATAAAGAATACCAGTCAAAACCCCGGTGCCCAGCGCCCTGAGTACTTTCTAGAGGATAACTAACACCTCTGGGACCCCCCAAGTCCTCCACCAGGTGCGTAGGCTGTTTTCCAACTGGTGCAAAGTCTGTAATAGGCACCGTTTAAAACACGTTTAATTTTTTTAAAAAGTATCATTTCTGGATACAAAGACTATGTGCTGTTTGTTTTTGTTTCCAGAAATGATGGCTGCTTCTTCCTTCCACCAGCCCGTGACGTACAAAACTGTCAGTGGCGTGGTTGTACTCCCTAGACTGTTTCTTCTTGTTTTGTTTTGTTTTTTTAACAAATTATTAGGCAGGAAAGAGATTCAAGCAACAAAAAATCAGTCATTTTCATTGCTCCTGCACGAAATACTAGACTTTTTATCTCTTCTGCAAATCCATTAGCCATTCTCCCAAACTGGAGGCCTGGTGCTGCAGCCCCCACGTCAGACGAGTGACCGCAGGTGGCCCGGCTTGGCATTGGCACGGTCCTGCCGCAGGTGCCCACAGCCATATCCCATCTTCTGCTGCAGACAGTCCGTGGTCACAGTCCTGGGTCACAGCTCTGTCTGTGTCAGGCTCTGGATGCCCCTGCCCTCCTAAGGCTGAGGTGCTCCGTCTGAAGCTCTGAGGGCCTGTTTCCCTTGGGGTTTACAGGTGGCAACGGGAGCCCACTGGTGGCTTCGGGGATGGTGAGGACAGTGGAAAGGGCTGGACCTGCATCTATCCTGCATGTCTGTCCTGCTGTCTGATGAACGGGGAGGCCCTTTGAGGCCCGGGGTGGGGACCCTCCCTCCGGACCACCCCCTCCCTTCCCCCACCTCTCTGGCCCCTCCACCCAGCCAACCCCAGAGGACGCTGCTGGTGCTTCATGCCGCTCCTCCCAGGACGGGCGGAGCAGTCGGTTGGCCCTGCTTGCTGGCCCTGGCCCTGGAGCTGGCAGATGTAGAGGAAAACCTGCCCTCTTCCCTCTCAGGTCGGGGAACTGCCTAGGCAGCGTGTGGGCACACTGGCCCCTGGGACTGGGAACACAGACCCCAGCCCTGAAGGCTGCCGCCCCACGGGAGACCTGAGTGGAGGCGTGATGAGCCAGGGCTGCGTGTCGGTGGACCCAGCTCTGAAGCCTGTGTCCTGGTTAGCTGTGGGCCTCGTGCTGGAGGTATCTCCCCGAGCCTCCCTTTTTACATCTACAAGATGAGGATGAACACTGGGGGCATCTCGGATTGATTGAGATGAGACCTGTAAATCCCAGGGCGCAGGGCCTGGCCCAGAGAAGGGCTCACTAAATGCTCTCAGGGACAGTAGCAGGGTGTGTGTGGGGTCCCCAAGACCATCCTCAGGTTCTCGGATTCACCAGGAGAAGCCATTATGGCTGCGGAGAAAGGTCTAGACTCAAATCAGCAAATGGAAAAGGCCCCGGGGTGCAGCCAGGATACAATCGAGTGTGGGTTTGCATTTGTCCCCTCCCCATGGAGCCTTCTGCATAGTGCTTAGTTCTCCCGGCAACAGTGTGTGACAGTAGGCACGTGTGGCAACAGCCGCAGAACATTGCCAGCCACGGAAGCCCACCCAAGCCGCGTGGGGGTCCTCACTGGTGGTCGGTGGGGTTGAGCATGCCTGTGAGACCGACCTTAGTTACTCCATCCCCAGCCCCTCCGGAGGCCACGCTGATCCTGCGTTGCCCACAGCCCTGCCATAAACCACATCGTGAGCGTACACTGTGTGGCCCAAGGCCTCAGGTGTACAAAGACGCTCTTATCCGGAGGGCTTATGCGGCAGACGCTCCAGGACTTAGAGGTTAGAGGTCATCTCCTAGGAGCTGGGCAAGAGCCAGTCTTTTCTTTGGCATGTGGAGGGGTTGAGCACCCCACGTCCGCTGAGTTACCCCTTTCTGCACACAGGACAGGCAGATGTGAGAGACGAAAGGGAGGTGTTTGCAGGCCAAAGGAAAGGGCCTCCTGAGTGCAGAGCAAGGCTTTGCAGGAAGACGTCTGCAGGCCCTTTTCCCCGGGGCCTGACTTTCCTGCCCTTCTCCTCCACCCTCCCTCCTCTGAGCCCCACTCTGGGACTTTTCCTGGGTCCTTTCCCTCTGCAGCCCTTGGGGTTGAGCGCAGACCTCCACTGGTTCACACGCCCACCCGAGAGTTCGGGAGACAGGTGACAGGCAACCCTCCCAGGCAGCCCTACTTGGTGGCTGAGTCTGAGCAGTGTCCCACTTTGCTCTGGATGGGCTGAGATTTCCGTGGGGAATTGAACCTTCTGGGGTCAGCCACCAGCACTTCACAAGACACTAAGTGTTTCGTTTCGAGCGTTTTGTAGTGTTAGTGATTAGCAAAAGGTTCTAGTTTAGCACAACCCTTTCCTTCTTGAAAACCTGCAAATCAAGCCCACGGCCCTGAAGAATCTCTCCCTCGTTTCATGGCTGGATAGGAGCCCAACGTGCTCCTTCAAAAAAATCATTTTCACAACCCTTGCACTTTGCATAATGAGCTGATTTTCCATAAAAGCCCCAATTATACTTCTCAGAGGCTGATGAATTGGAGACTTAATCTAAGAATCCCGCCCTGGTGCCGGCTAGGGGATCAAACGTGTTGGGGAAGGGGGGCGAGGGGGAGGATTGTGGTTGTAGAGTAGGAGAGGGGTTTGTGGAAGGCACCCAGCGAGGCGTGTGGGGATGTGGATCTTGCTGTGGTCAGAGCTAACCCTCCAGATTGGGGGTGTCCTAATTTGGGGTCATCACAGCTCTGAACAGCTGGGAGGGAGGAGATGGTGAAGGGTAGGACTGCCTGAGAAGGAAGCCAAAAGGTGTCCTCAGCCTATGAGGTCAGGACCCATAAAGGAAACTTTCATCAGCCAAATAACCTTGGGCAGGGATTCTCTTGGAACCTTTGTCTCTTCTTCTGTAGGCTGGGAGCATGGCCCTGCCTCGTGTGGCTGCTGTGTGTCTGTGCACCATACAGCACAGCACCTGGTCCTTGGTGAAGGCCCACAGCTGCTAGGTGGATGTCCTAACCCCCAAACCCTGAGAGTGTGACAAGGAAAAGGGTTTTCGCAGATGTAAATACACATCATTTTAAGAGGGAGGCAGGAAGGTCAGAGTCAGAAGAAGGAGATGGGATGGCAGAGGCGGAGTTAGCGTGATGGGGCTGTGGGCCAAGGAATGCAGGCGGCTTCGGAAGCTGGAAAAGGTAAGGGACACATTCTCCCTGGCGCCTCCTGAAAGGGACCAGACCCTCAATACCAGCCCCTAGAACCCACTTCAGATTTCTGACACCCTGAACTGTGAGAGTCTGTGTTGCTTGAAGCCACCAACTCTCCAACTCTCTGGTGACCTGTTAGAGCTGCAGCAAAGGCCCCTGGATTGGCTGGGAGGCTGTCTGAAGGCCCAGCTGTGTGGCGAGTGTGGGCATATACCAGCATGCGGTCTTGGTCGGGAGCACATACCAGCGTGGAGTCCGGATGGAGGGACTCAGCCCTGGCTCCTTGCTGAGCTGGGCTCCTGGCTTTGATTGTCTCATGCTGGCCCAGCCCTGCCACCTTCTCTTCTGCTTCTGACTTTTAAAAATTCAAATACATTCATATCCCATAAATGTAACCCTTTTAAAGCATGCAATTCAGTGGCCTTTAGTACGTTCACAGTATTGTGCAACCACCGCCTCTATCTGCTTTCAAAAATCTTCACACCCTAGAAAGAAACCGGTCACCGTGAGTAGTCACCGCCCTCCGCAGCCTCAGGCAGCCCCCAGCCTGCTTTCCGTCTGCCTGTTCTGGCTGTTTTGTGTCCGTGGAATCATACCGTGCGCGCCTTTCACACGTGGCTTCTCCCACTCCGCATCTTGTTTTCGAGGTTCACTCAGCCGT